CTCTAATATTTTTTAAATTATATTTTCATCTGAAGGAGTTTCCTCATTTTCCCAACGTTGTGCAAATACAATTTTTGCTGCCATCAAAACATGTAGTATTAAATATACATTCCCTTTATTATATTTTTCTGGCAGAATACCTAACAAAAATATTTCTGGCTTTAGATTTATATGTTGCTTTATCATTTTTTCTAACTATATATGTATTTTCATCCAATTTTTTTTCCTTCGAGCAGGTCCACCACATATGATAATACAATCCCGGTATCTGGTTACATTTTCAGCATTTGGAATGTTTTTAAACATCCTTGCTAGCCAAATGCCACCTGTAAAACATTTTATACAGGTTTTTCTTATATGTAGTTGCCATTGTCAAATTATAATTTCTATCCCAAAGTTTTTGCCATTTATCTACCATGTTTTCCCAAAACTATGATCCACTCTAAAAAGAAGCCCTATCACGTTTTGAACACATGCGGTAAAATTAAGCCTTAACCCCAGAATTAGCCCTAATTAAATCACGAGCAAGCTGTGGTAAGCAGCCACAGAAGTAGGCCAGCAGCAGGCTCCTGCTGGGCGGGGCTGTCAGTGCCACCACCATGAGGTGAGGCAATAATTAGACCCACCCAAAAAGAAGCCCTTGCCATTTTGGGGTGGGGGGGTCAAAAGAAAATAAGACCCAGTCATATTTTTTGGGAAACATGGTAATTCTATAGTATATCCAAAGTTTTTTGCCCATGCTATCATTGTTTCTTTCACTTGTTCATCTTCCATTTTAAGACTTAATAAATAACTATATATTTTCTTTATTAGCTTTTCATCCACATCTAATAGTATCTGATCAAGTATTGTTGGCTCTTTATAGAAACCATATATGTTTACATCTTTTTCATATCTTTATTGTATTTGCAGGTGTGGCCACCTTCCAAGGTCTACTCCTTGATTTTGCAATTCCTGTTTAGTTTTAAGTTCCACTTTCTCATTTAAAATATCTTTATATGTTATATTTTTTCCCCAAATTTATCACATTTTGATGTCTCAGTGCTTCCATTGTAGAAAGCCAGACTGGTATTTTCATGTAGTTTTTTGCTTTAACTTTTCCCATATTAGGAGTAGAGCATTCCTTACATAATGTCTTTGAAAGTATCTATGTATTTTTATCAAACCACAGAAAAGCATGCCATCCCAATTGAAGATCATGTCCCTCCAACAGTAACTCTCTTCTATTTCTAAGGTTCATCTGTTCTTTCACCCAGGTTAGTGCTGAGGCCTAATAGTAAAGTTCTCAATCCTGCAGACCAAAGCCCCCATTGTTTTTGGATTCTTGCAACATTTTCAGTCTTATTCTTGCTCTTTTCTCTTGCCACATGAATTTCAGAATTATTGCATTTAATTCATCGAAATACCTTTTTCTTTAGCTTTATAGGAATTGTTTGAAACAAATACAATAACTTCAGCAGTATATTCATGTTTATAGTTGCTATTCTTTCTACCATTGATAACTGTAGATTTTTTTCATTTCTCCAAATCCACTTTTATTTGTTGTATTAACCTTTGATTGTTACACATCTAGCTGTTAAGTAAATTCCCAAGTATTTTACTTTTTTAACTACCTGAAGGTTTGTTTTCTTTGTCAATTCAATTTTCTGTTTATCTGTAAGATTCTTAACTAGCATTTTTGTTTTTTATTTATTTATTCTCAGACCTGCCACCTCCATATTCCTCTATTTTTCCCATTAATCTAGAGCCAGTTTCTAGTCGTTCTTCTAATACGAATACCAAGTCATCTGCAAATGCTTTAGTTTGTATTTTTCTTTTTTTAATTTCCAAACCTTTTATTTCTGGATGCTGTCTAATGTTTCTATTTAACACTTTCAGTGTCAATATGAATAGTAATGGGACAGCGGACATCCTTGTCTTGTGCTTTTTTTATATTAAAATTTGCCATCAAGTCCCCATTCACTATCACTTTTGCCAACTGTTTGCAGTATATTGTCTTAATCATCTTTATAAACTTCTCGCCACAGTCCATACACTCTAGTTGTTGCAACATAAATCACCAATTTGCATTATCGAATGCTTTCTGTGCACCTAAAATATTCCAACATATCTAGAATAAATCTTATGTTATTCTTAATTTGTCTTTTAGGTAGGAATCCATTTTGGTCTGAGTGGATAAATTTGTTCAAGAATCTTTTTAATCTTTCTGCTATTATTGATGCAAATATCTTGTAGTCTACATTTAGTAGTGATATAGGCCTGTAATTCTTTATCTTATTAAGTCTGAGTCTTCTTTCAGGCTTTATGTTATATTTGCTTCTATCCACAAACTTGGTATCTTAGCTTTTAACAGAACTTCACTGTAAACCTCTAACATTGACAAAGTTAATGAGTCCTGTAAGTTTGTATAAACTTCTGCAGGTAATCCATCTGGTCCTGGTGTTTTATTATTCTGTTGTCTTTATTGTTATTCTTTCATGTAGCATTGCTTTTATATTTTCAGACATTTTTGGTAATTTAGCTTTTTCTTGTTATTGCTTTATCTTTTCCTCCAAATGTTTTTCTTGATCATATAATTTCCCATAGAACTGCTGAATTATTTTCTTTTTAATCTCATTTTGGTGTTGTAAGTTTCCCCTCTCATCTTGTAATTTATTTATCCATTTCTTTTCTTTCTCCTTTTTCAGCTTGTATGCTAGCCACCTTCCTGATTTACTGACATTTTCAAAAAAGTTTTGTTTTGCTCTTTTAATTTGTTGTGCCAATTCTTCTGTTTCCATTAATATGTTTTGTTATTTCAATTTGGTTTTTTAATTTTCCTTTTTGCGGATCTTTTTGTAGTTCTAACTCAAGTTTTCACCTTTCAGTATCTTTTGCTGTTATCTTTTTTTCTGCTTTTTGTTGCTATATAGGTTATAGTTAATCCCCTAACATATGTTTTGGCTGTGTCCTACAGATTTTGTAATGAAGTCTCTTCTTTTTTATTCTCCTTGAAGATGAATTCCATTTCTTTGACTGTTATTTGTATGAATTCTTTATCTTTTAGTATTGATTGATTCAATGCCCACCTTGGCCTTTTCTTTTGCCCTTTCAAACTAATTTTTATTGGGTTATGGTCAACCCATATATTGGTTTCAATCTTTATCTCCTGCACATTTTTTCTCAATTCCAGTGACATCCATATCATGTAAGTTCTGGACCATGATTTATGCCTATGATTTTTCCCTGGATTTGTTTGTCTCCATATATCCTGGATACAAGTTCCTTACTTTTTTCCCTGATTTGCTATTTCTATAGTCCAGTTTTGTATCTACAATTGCATTAAAATCTCCTACCATACAGATATTTTCATATTCCATATCCATTATCTTCTTATGGAGTTTTTAATAGCATTCTTCTGGTTTATTATGTGGTGCATATATTGCTATCAAGAGCATCCGTCTTTGGTTTATCTCTACCTCCACCATCAGAATTCTTCCTTCTTTATCTATATTTACCAGTTTAGAATTTATTGTTTTCTTAACATATAAAGCTACCCCTCTTTTCTTTTGTTGTGCTAATGAGAAATATAATTTCCCAATTTTCAGACATTCCAATAATTTAATGTGCTGTTTTTTAATATGCATTTCTTGTAAGCAAATTATATCTAATTTTAATTTTTGTAATGGTGTGTAGATTTTCCTTAACAATTTCTATACTGTCTCTATATTTTATCTTTGAAGTGTCAAGAGAAGCACTCAGCTCTATAGTTGACTGCTTATGATCACTATCTGAGCCTTCCCACAGTTGGACAATGGCTATGCACCACATAGTGATTGCTAGAATGTGATATTTAATGGTGTTTTCCATTCATGTGTATTTTCTTTTCTCATTACTGAAGTTTTAATATATGGTGTGAACTCTCTAAGTATGTATGAGTTGTGCACACTTGAACATGTGATTGTGCATGCTTTGTATTTATTCAACTGTTTCTGATTCTAATAAGAGTTCTAGTAACATTTTTAGCTGCACAGTATCATGCTACTTTGTTTATCTGAGAAGTGGATCTCGCAGTTCTCTGGGATGAAGTTGAATGTAGCAAAATGAGGAACTCACTTCCTGAATTCTTCCCATAAAATCTGACATTCAGATGGCAGCAAGCAAATAAAGCAAATGAAGAGGACTATACAATAACATATCAGGAAATGCACTAATCTAGGGCAGAAGTGGTCAATGTGTGGCATTTCATATGTTGCTGAACTATACTTGCAGTTAACTATACTTGCAGGCCTTGGATTATCTAGCCACACGCCATAACAAGTGTTTTTGCTTACTAGTAATAAAATATTGAGTTTCAGCAATGCATTATTACTTGAGCTCAACTGACTAAAAATTTCTTGATTTTAAAAAATTCTGTGGACTGTGGAGCTGTCTGACAACATATAAATGGTTTCTCTTTAAAGGAAACAAAATCATTTGTTTTTGAATATTTGTCAATAAAATACTGAATTCTATTTTAGTTGCTTCAAGTGTGCATATATGTATTCAGTAGAAAAAATAGGCTTAATACATTATTTTTAAAAATGATATATTGCTTTGAAATTATTAATTAGACATTTGGTCATAGGCTGTATTTTGGGACTAATGCTTAAAAACTTTCATATCTGATTTATTTTATAATGTGTATCTTCAAATACATTAAATATATGCAAGAGAAGTGGTATTTATTATGTAAAATTGTTCTATAACATTCATTTAGATATTTATTAATTTTATGTTTGGAATGAGCCCAAAGTTTTCTCCTTTCTTCCCTTCCTCCCTCCACACTAACTTTCTTCTACTGAGCATGTATTATGCTCATAATTTGGCCAAAAATGTTTCTAATACTTAAGAATCCTAAAGTTAACTTTTATGTAATGTAAGATTTATATGATAAAGCATTACTTTATTGTCAGTCCAGAAATAAATTAGTTTTGCCAGTTTGGGTCTAATGTATTTTCTTTATTAATGCTTTTCTCTAGGCCATTCTGCTAACCTAACTTGCCGAGCATTCTTTGGATACAGTGGAGAAGCCAGTCCTTTAATGTATTGGATGAAAGGCGAAAAGTTTATTGAGGATTTGGATGAAAGTCGGGTTTGGGAGAGTGATATTAGGTAAAAAAAAATACATATGTTTTGTCAAGACTAATATCTAGTTTTCTGAAATGAATAAAATAAAATTTAAAAGAAGAATCAACCTTATTAAAATGCACAAAATAATCTGAGCCTTGTTCTTTTGCAGGACAATTATTGAGAATGGCATAGAAAATTGATGTTTTATATATATATGCAATTATTCTAAAACTGCTAGTTTATGATCACCCAGGGCATGGCACAAAGACAACACAGTCAGATAATCAGTATTTTATTAGCTCCAACTTTGCCCCCAATGTCCTAGTTACCTTTTGACTGGAGAAAAACTCTCCCAGAAACAGCCTTTGGCTGCAGAGAATCAAGTCCAAAATGTGGTCAACAAAAACTGTAACTATAAGGCCAATCAAGGCAAAATGAGGTAAATGTCCGGCAATTCCAGACATAAGGGCATGGCAATAATGGTTGGGAAGATGCCAGGAATACAGATAACCAAAGTCAACACAACATAAACTCAAATTTGCTCCCAGCACCTGCCGCACTCAGAATGTATCTCTTTTAAACTCTCTTCACAGCTGTGGCTAATGAAGGGAATCAGTGCCCTTTCCTCCCAGGTAAGCCACACAACACATGTTGCTCTCTTCTCTGCTCCTTCCTGCATTCCCTAGGATGAAGAGGGGGTGGGCCTGGGTCTTTCTTTGAACTTCCTCTCCCTTGCTCTGCCCAGCTAGACTTTGCCCTTCCCCAGTTTCCTCCACAGCCAACAGAACCACACTCCCACTCCCTGTCAGCTGTTTGTCTTCCTCCTCAGATTCAGACTCCAACAAGGGCATGGCATAGTTTTAGTCTACTGTTAAAGCAAGAATGAAGTTTTAGCAACTATAAAAATGCCTAGAAATTTACATGATAAAATACTAACCAAAAATTATGTGATTTCAATATATATATATATATATGCAGGGGTGGGATTCAGTTTTTTAACAACTAGTTCTGTGGGTGTGGCTTAGTTGGTGGGTGTGGCTTGGTGGTCATGTGACTGGTGGTCATGGCCAACTCGACATCATTCATGTCAAGGGGCACTTCTCCTCGCCTGGCCTCTCATGACAGTGGGGATGCTGCAATGGTCATAAGTGTGAAAAATGGTCATAAGTCACTTTTTTCAGTGCCATTGTAACTTTGAATGGTCACTAAATGAACTGTTGTAAGTCAAGGATTACCTGTACAAAAATACAAAAAGCTTCTTTGCTTGCAAAAAGCTGCCCTAAATACCAATCATTAGATTAAAAATACCTGCAAGCCAAAGTTACAAATCAGGCAGGGTGTCAGAGCACCTTGAGGAATTAAAATAGTTAAAATGCAGTGATAACTATCAAGCAGCCAACTCTTGCTCATAAAGTGAAACCCTTTAGCAGAGAGGTCATTTAAGCTCTCCAGATAAAGCACACCCAAGAAAAGCAATCCTTAGATCCATTTGCACCACTTAAAAATACCAGCTGGTCTCACAAGGTATCCTAAGGAAATCAGCCAGATTTAAGGAAAGGTTACATGGCCCCCCGAAAGGCAGTAAAAAAATCAGTGCCAAGCTTGCAACTTGCCTTGGGAAGTTGACCCCAAAAGGACAGTGCCAGATAGTATTAAAGCAATGAAGGAAGACCCCCTCCCTAAATAGAAAAAGAAACCGTGAGGCAAGAAAAAATTCAAACACCATACAAATAATTAAATCACAACAGTAGTTGTTGCTTGTTGAAGCTGAATAAGGAAAATTACCCCATCAATAAACACAAGATTAAACTTCACCAAGCACAGAATTAACCTTCACCAAAAACCAGTTTTAGACCAAAACTCAAAGAGTATGTATGTAAACTCATGTTTGAATGTCAATCCTTCTAGCTAGCCAAGAAGACTTGCTGAATGTCACTCATCTTGGTTCCCTGTCATTAAAAGCTTTGCTTCATTATTCATTTATTTCTTCAAAGTGCTGATTGTCCAGGGAAGTATTTCCTCCCAACAGCAGCGTAAAAATCTTAAAACAATCCTTCCCCTTTAAGAAAGCCAAGCCTCACAAGCTCCAGAGACAGGAAGTCTAGGCTGTCTGCCAAGAATGTAATAAGGGTGGAAAAAAACAAACGGAGATTGCTTCTAACTACAGGTTCCAAACTGCTTAGAAAATTAACAGGGGGTTCTAGAGAACCAGATAGAACCGGTAGAACCCCACCCCTCTATATATGTATATGTACACACACACACACACACACACACACACACACACACACACACATTGAAACTGTATATATTAGAAATTGATTACTTATACAAAATCCTTCTGTGATATTCATTGGGATGTTCCTTAATCTTTGGAAATAATGGTAATTGCTTTTGGTGTTTATATCTGTGGATATGTGTTGTTTTGAAACAAACAAGTATTATGGCAATAAATAATTATATATAATACTGAAATTCTAATGAATTATTACTCCTAAATTACTCAAAGAAATGCATTCATCTTCTGTGAATGTTAACATCTGTTACTTAAGCTTTAAAATGGAATAATCTAGAAATAAATTTTATTTTTGAAAAATAGAATATATTTCACCTTAATTGCAAAAACTATATAGTAAAGTTATTTAGTATTTAAATAATCATTTTCACAAAACTATTTGGTTTTATTTTTTTATCTTAAAAGGGGTTTTCAAAGATAGTTATGGAACAAGAACAACTGCTGATATTTTAACAAAAAGTCAAAAACAATGTTTATAAACATCAATGTACTTGCAGATCTCATTAGCATCTACAAATGTGTACAAATATATATTGATAGTAAAGTAAACTAGTGGTTAAATTATATCAACCCTACTTCTTTTTTTTTTTTTTAGTAAAGATCATATTAAGATTCCTTCCATTCCTTCCAAAAACATTATTTTTCAACAATTTCAACAACATATTTTTATTTTTATTAGAGTCCTTAAAGAACATCTTGGAGAACAAGAAGTTTCCATTTCATTAATTCTTGATTCAGTGGAAGAAGGAGATCTTGGAAATTACTCCTGCTATGTTGAAAATGGATATGGCCGCAGATATGCTACAGTTATTCTACTTAAGAGGGGTGAATATATGCACATATTTATTTATTTATTAACTATTGTTTATATTCTATGTATATAAAGTTGGGTTCCTGAAAGTATAAATTAATTTTTACTTACTTTAGGATGGCATTTTAAATAACTAATAAACCAATCGTTAAATGTGGCTGTCTGTTGAAGAAATACAGTTCAGTAACTTTTTAATAATGTTTATACAGGAAACGCATGTAACAAGTAGAAAATTAATTAATAAGTATTTTCTGGTAGGAAGTTATTACTATTAGAATTTTAAACAATACAAAAAAGTAAAAATTAAATAAATCTAGTAGTGTTAAATGTATTTTGCAAGTGGCACAAACAACCATGGGTAAAACTTTTTGTGCTTTTAGATTATAACTTGACAAAAAATGTTATGCTTATCTCTGTTCTAATTATATTTAAAACTTGCTATTTACTGGGATTAGAATTTAAATAGCTTTTTTGTTTTGCTTTATTTGTTTTATTCCTTTGCCAAAACTTATGGCTGTAATTTAACCTACACCAACAGTAACACTCATCTAATAATTTTTGGTGTCACTATGAATGTTCTGCAAAGTTGCTAGCTTTAAAACCATAGCAATATTTCTTAATGGTATTTTTTGCTTGATCTTCCATCTTTAATATGTAAAAAATTATTAGGTGTTAGTTTTTAATTATTAGGATATTAGACTTTTAGCAATTTAGTAATTCCTATTAACTGAAAAAAGTGCATGTTAGATTGTAATTATATATTAGTTTCTACAAGTAATCGAAAATCATATATTGCTTTGAAATTATTAATTAGATATTTGGTCATGGGCTTCAAATATTTTGGGACTAATGCATTCTCCCCCCACCCCTGAGCTCCATTTTTGCTGGCAGAAAGCTACAGGAGGCTGTCACAGTTGAAAGCAGGGCTACAGGTGGCCCACTTCCGAGTTCCATTTTCACTGACAGCGGGTTAGCAAAACAAATTAAAAACAAAACAAAACAAAAGGAGAAATGTTTCCCCTTTTACATTTAAGAATTCAAGATTGGACAGGAAAGGAGAAAGAAAACAAGGAAAGACAAAGAAGGGAAGATGGGAAGAAAGCAAGAAAAGCAAAAGAAGGAAAGAGGTGTTGAAAGGCTGGAAAATGCCTTTCCTTTGAGGATTCGATTTTCCTGCTGGGAGGGCTCTGGTGCAAGGACACAGACAACTGCTTGGAAGCGGGTTCCTTTTATTTTTCAGGAAGGCAAGAGATAGCAAGAAGTCTGCGTTCCTGGGGCTAGCCATCTTTGTATAATAAACTCCTGATTTTTATACCTTTTCTCCTTTTGTGTGTGAGTGCTTGTGTTTGTATTTCTTAATGTTTTAAATCCTGTCAGGGGGTTGTCTTCATTTCCGCCAGAGGGTAAGCTCTGCGGGGTGGTTTGATTGGATTATCAGTTTCATCCTAATGTTTTCTTATATTTGTTTGGTGGCAATCTCCTGTCTGCTATGGAATTTATTTCGTGTCTTTTGTCTATTTGTTTTGCTGATTTGGCATGACCTGTTGTTTGTAAGGGATTTCTTTTTCTTGTTTCCCTAGCTTTCTTAATTACTTGGCTTTTGTCTAGGGGGCTTCTTTCAATACCTTTTATTAAATCTCTTTTCCTATGCAAGTTTGTTTTATGGCTGGCCTGATGTTCCCTTTGGGCTTTTCCTGCTTGGGTGTCACCATTGTCCTCATGAAGTTCCCTTTCTACAATCCTTCTTTTTTTTTTTTAAGAGGGTGGTCTCTGATTGAATGTCTGGGTATACTTGGTATTTGTGATCAATCTGGTTCATTATCATAGCTGCCTGTCTCCCCCTTTAGTTTTCTCTTCTGAGAGGGGATACAGGCCTTTAGGCAGCTAAGGCAGGGTGGTATGCATCGACAGGGGCAACACATGAGGGCTCCAAAGTCACAAATGGTGGCTGTGGTTGTTATAAGGATTTTGAGCCAATGGAAATCTGGCATCCATGAGAAGAGCCATGAAAAGTCCAGGAATGATTGCTCCTGACCAATATTCTGAGATAGCTCTTTCAGGTGGTGGATGTCCCTCCCTACGAGTTCTGAGGTTTCGTCCAGATTGAGGCAACACATCCCTTGGAATTTTTCGCAGTCATAGTTATGCTTCAAGAGAAGGAAGCCTATTGCTGCCCAATTCTCCAAGGTGGCTTCTCTGACCTCCCTCAGTTCTCTGTTAAGGGCATCCAGGGCATGGGAGGTCAAATTCAAGCTTTTTTTGCCAGGGTACATGCTAGTCTATTCAAATTTTTAGAATTTCGCACTGCCAATCCAGGTACCTCTACCAAGGATATTGCCAATGAGATGTATTCTGTTTTTGTGGGAAGGAAGACTTTGGAATCACAGTCTGAGTCTAGGGTTTGGAAGGCTCTCCTGTGTTGTCTCTGTATGGATGGCATAAGAATAGTTAACCTTCCCAAGGTGCAGGGGCCATTTGTGGCATTTGCAGGAAGGTATGAGTAGGCTTTTAAGCCACAAAGGAAAAACCATCCTGGTGGGAGCTTCAGGTAACTATATGAAAATGATATGGTCTCTGTATAGTTGCATTTTAGTTCTGTGTTGCTAAGACTGGTGCATTCTGTGACCCTAGGTGTGCTGCACCCAGTGACATTATGATTTCCCTCCTGCTAAGCAAACGTTAGTGGTGTTGAGTATTTCTCTTGCTAAACATTCCCATATGTTTTCCTTTCTCTGGGATAAGCTTTGGTTCCAGGAACGCAGTTGCTTGTGTTACAAATGTTACAATTATTACAGAAAATAATAATAATACATAGAATATATTGCATTTCATGTTCCCCGTTGCTTGATTCCTTTTCTTCCCTTCCTCCCCCCCTCCTCCTTTTTTTTTTTTAATAGCAATGTAAAAAAAATGTAAAAGGTCAAGTATCAAAAAATTATGAGTAAGGTATAGTTAAAGTCCTTTTTGTTAAAAAAATACGATGAAAAAATGTTTTTTATAAAAGGAAAAAAATGGAGAAGGTGGGACAAAAAATTAAAAAAACAATAGTTTATAACTCAGCACCCGGGAGTCCAGTTTTGTGTAATGCAACATTTGCACTTGGTTCCTCATAGTGGTGTGGTTCAACAGTGTTGAAGAATGCTGCAAGCGTCCATTGATCTGTGTCCCGATCTTTCTTGAGTTTGATGGGTGGGATTGATTGTGGTGGAGTTTGGCTATGGTCTATGACTGCTGGCTTTGCATGTCTATGACTGCTGGCTTTGCAATGTAGCCAAGAGTCTCGTTCTGCAAACCTTTATGGCGTTGTGTGTAGTCAGTAAAACTTGGTAGGGTCCTTTCCATCTGGTTGTAGAGAGGAGGTTCTGGTGAAGAACTTGATCCACACCCAATCTCCTGGCTCATATGGATACAGGGCTTCTTCCAGGGGTAAGGTCTGTGTCAGCGCACTCTGGGTCCAGAGGGTCTGTAGTCTCTTTTGCAGGGCTGTAAGATGAGAAGAGAGAACCCTATCCCCCCCTATCTAAGCAAAGGGAATGAGGATTTAGGCTGAGAATTAGGATCCTAGTAGGGTATGGGGGGGGGGTGACCAAAAAGGATCTCAAAGGGGGGAAATACCTGTATCTTGTCTTGGTCTGGTTCTGAAATAAAAGGGGGCAATTGGGAGCACTTGTGGCCAGGAGAGGTGTGTCTCCTGACAGAGTTTGCCCAGTAGGGTCTTCACCTCTTTGTTTGCTCTCTCCATGGCTCCTTTAAGTAGCCCCACTTCTGATGCATCCCAGCCCCATAAGGAGGATGGCAGGCTTTTTAAATCTTCATGAAGCCCTGTGTTGCTGATTATCAGCATGATTGTCTTGTGTGTGCCTTTTCCTGGGATTTCCAATTGCAGCCCCTGTTTGCCACATATTATGGTAGCTCCCATTTTACATAGGAGATCCGTTCCTAGTAGAGACAGTAGGGACTGGGGGCAAATAGTAAGTGCATGGTCTACTGTGAAAGGTCCTAGTTCTACTGGTACATTGTGGGTAAATTCTACAGGGATTATTCCCCCCCCCTCCCATTATGCTATCCCGAGCCCCTTCAGCCACTGAAGCTTTATATGGTGGTTCAGTAATGAGGAGGTGGCTCCAGTATCAACTAAGCAATTGTATTTCTTTCCTCCTATAAGAATGGTGACAATGGGTTCCCCTTCTGGGCCATTTTCTAGGGGGATAGCCAGCCTGTTAAAGGTAGCCATGAATTCAGTGCTTTCATTGTCATGTTCTAGTCAAGAAGGGGGTAAATCTTGTTCTCTCCTTTGCTCCCATTGATGTCTATTGCTATTATTTATTGGAGGAAAGGGAGCGCTGGGTGGTGCCTGGTGACTGAAACTTTGTTGCTCAGTGTAATGGACTGGATTATTGGCTGGCCTCATGTTCCTAGGTGGTGGGTGATACCGGTTGCAGGAGGGGTGTTGCCTACATTGCCTGCTAAAATGACCTTCCTGTCTGCACCTATAACAATGCTGACATTTGCCTTGCGACCATCCTGCTTTATCGCAATGCTAGCATTTCTTTGAATTATAGGGGGTTTTACCTGGCATTTGTCTGGCATCATGTTTCATTACAGCAAACATTTTTTTAAGTCTTCCAGTCTTTCTATTCATGTCTTTCTATCTTTCTCTTCCTCTTTCAATTTGTCTCTTTGATCATAGACAAAGTTAGCAATCCTGCGCAACTCTGCTATGTCTAAGGTTGGCCAGTTAGAGATGAAGCGGTGGAAATGTTCTTTAATATCTAAGGTGGACTGATCCATGAAGGCTGAAGCTAAAATCCTTTGGTCCTTCAGGCAGCTAAGGTCTAGGTGGGCATATGCAGTAGCTGCTTCTGACAGGCAGACCCAAAAGGCATCAGGGTTTTCCTTTTCCCTTTGTGTTGTTTTTTTTGAAATTCAGACTAGTTTAAAAGTTTTTTTTTCTTATTTCCTCTAGAGCTTCTAGTAAATTATCTTTTGCTCTAGTGTATTTGTCCCATTGATT